CTTAAATAGAAGAGCTCTAGAATAACTCTTATTTTATACTAGTCGACTTTATCGTCCAGGTCGATAGGGGTATCGGCCTGGCCGATCAGCATAAATTTTATTCAATCAGCCCTGTCGGTTTAGGATGATTAGATAATTTCCGGTCATATCATCCAGGCCGATAGTATATCATCCTAGATGATTAGTTCAAATATATCATCCTGGATGATTAGTTAAAATCTAAGGAAAATAATCCTTAACATCGCCCTGAATAGAAGCTGGCCGATGTTAATCGTCTACGCCATCATCCCGGCTAATCCTGATATCATCCTGGCCGATGTGATCATGCAATTAATCTTAATTGCTTTCCTTAATCACCTGATTAATTTAGGCATAATTGTGCTGCATCGTCTAGGTCAATATCCTGGATGATGTCCAAAAATAACTAATGCCTAAATAGATCTGGCTATTGTATCTTTCTAATATGAGCCTATCGGCCTGGCCTGGCCGATGTACTTAATGACAGCTACCTTAACCATGATGCCCTAATTAGGGTTTTTATTTTTGAACTGATCATCTAGGCTGATATAAATATCATCCTGGATGATGTTACCAAAAATAGTAAACTCTAAGAAATAGTTAGAAATTCTCTCATGATGTGTGTACAAGGTTACTTAGCATTAGGAGCCACATCTTTTACAATAGACTCAAGAAAAGGGAAAAGTGTACAAAGTGACTCAGACCTAGTCTACCCAATCTTGAGCCGATTTTAATTACCGTCTGATCTTATGGACCTGAAATGTTAGTAGGCAAGGTAGTCGTAGATAAACAAGAGTGTTTGCTATCATAAAAATCATAATTCATTAAAACAAATTCGTAATAGTTTCTCCATACTTCCTTGAAGGCTTTTGAGAGAAAATTTTTAAAGAAGATTACGATACTCTACCATCACTAGGAGGGTGAAAAAGGATATTAGTACTCTATCGTCACCAGGAGGGTAAAAAATGATGTTAGTACTCTACTGTGACCAGGATCGTGAAAAAAGAATGTTGGCACTCTACCATCAGCAGGAGGGTGAGAAAGGATGTTAGTACTCTATTGTACTTGGTTGGTGGAAGAGAGGTTTTATAAGGACTTCTCCACCTTGCTATTGGGGAGAAAGAAGGGGAAAAGGAGAGGCACTTTGATTTAATACATGAAGAAGTCTTCAGCGAGTGGATGTAGGTCTAGTTGAATCGAACCACTATATATTTTGGTGTTCTTCTATTCTTTAATTTTTTACTGTATTTTTATTTTCTGCACTTTAGTTACTATGATTGAAAGATATTTTGTGAAAATCTATCATTGTGTTATATATCTTAAAATAGTTTTTTTAAAATCCAAGAGAATAAGAGTGCCTTTTTAATAGGATAATATAAGTGGATGTTTATGTTAAATAACTGACAGGTTTTTAAAATTCAAAATTCCCTAATCACATGTTTTAATTGAAAAAGTCATTGTATGGACTAAAACAGACACCTAGGGTTTGGTATGAGAGGCTAAGCATTTTCCTACTAGAAAGATCATTTATTAAAGGAAGTGTGGATACCACTCCCTTTTTAAAAAGGGAACGAGATGGTAAACTCATTATTTAAATATATATATATTGATGATATCTTTTTTGGATCCACTAATAAAAATCTTTATGATAATTTTTAAAAAATAATGAGTAGTAAATTTGAAATGAGTTTGATGGGAGACTTAAGCTATTTTCATAGTTTTAGCATAAAGAAGAATGAGGATGAAATATTTCTTAGTCAGTCAAAGTATATTAAGGACATTCTCAAGAAATACGAAATGGATAATGCTAAACTAGTGAGTACACTAAGGAGTTCCTCAGTGTAGTTAGATAAGGACTTTAAGGGAAAATATATTGATCAAAAGAAGTTTAAAAAAATAATTAGATCATTACTTTACTTAATTGCTAGCATACCAAATATCATATTTAGTGTTTGATTGTGTGTTAATTTTCAAGCTGAACAAAAGGAATCACATTTGACTGCTGTTAAAGGAATTCTATGATATCTTTTGGGAACTCAAAACTTAGGGGTATAGTATCGTAAGCACAGTTCTTCTTTAAAATCACTAAATGTTTTGATCCAAATTTTATAGGATATAGGTTTAATTAGAAAAGTACCTCTAGAACTTATCAATTCATAAGAAACTCTTTAGTTTCTTGGTCTAGCAAAAAAATAGAATTCAATAACCTTTTCTACTGCTAAACAAGAATACATTTTTTTGGCACAGGTTTTTTAGTTAAAATAATAACATATTGATTTAAGATTTTCAATTTACACTATTCCAATTTTCTATGATAATATAAGTGCCATATGTATTTAAAAGAATCCTATTCAACATTCTTAAACCAAGCATAGAGATATAAGGGATCAGTTCATTAGAGATCATGTGGCTAAAGGAGAAATTGAATTATATCATGTTGCTACTAAGAATCAACTTGCAGATATTTTCATAAAACCACTAGCTTTTGAAACATTTAGCACCATAAGAATTCTATTAGGTGTGATTGATATTAATGCTTAAAATTATAATTCTATAAATTGGATTTATAATGTATTTTATGTATGTTGATGTGTTTGTTTTATTTATTTATTTTTTTGTTAGTGGTTGTTTATTTCACTAATTTGTGTTTGTTTTTTCTTTCGTTAGTATTATTTTTATTTTTGTTTTCATTATTACATGTCATGGATCTTGGGTAATTTGTTTTTTAATAGAGTTTTTATTTATTGTATCTTGAGTATTATTTTCATTTGGACTATACGAACCATTTTTATATTATACAAATTTAATAGACTGTATATGATATTTTTTCTAAGTTGAATAGATAAAAATGAGAATTTTTAATCCTATCCTACTGTACGATACATCTTCATACTATACGATATATTATTTTTTTTCTATACGATTGGGGACGGTTTTCCAAATATTAATTATTTTTCACAGATCGTATATATGAAATCCCATTTTGTCTATATGATAATGTTATCAATTTTTCATATGGATGAACCTAACTGTCAAACATGATCTTTAATATTCTGATCATCCTGGATGAATAGGTGTTTGTCTGTACGATCATTCTGGTCAAAAAGGTGTACAAAATGACTCCTCGGGAATAGCAGTTTATGAAAGTCATTTCATTTTTAGCAATTTTCATTTGTATGTATGAAATTGTTTTCATCCCGTATAATTTTTAAATCGTACGTATGAATGACTTTTTGTATTGTATGATTGGCCATTTTCTTTAAATAGTAAGGTGTTTAATGATTTTTCTTCACAATCTTCTTCAATCTCAAACCATCTCATATCCTAACTCTAGAAATGGTTAGCAGCAGCAAGTGTCCAAGAACTTTCAAGGCCTCTTCCTCTCATTCAAATAGAATCGATTAGAACTTTATCTTGAAAGATAATGAGGAATACTTCAATCATTACTTTGAAGCTAAGATTACCCCATATCATCTCCTAATCTAAAGAGACATTAACTTTCCAGTTAAGCCTCTTTTTGCTTCAACACAATCTTCTTTTATCCTCACTCTGAATTATGCCTATCATCATGATAGATTCCATTTTTTCCTTACAAACATGAGAGTAAATGAAGATCGCACTAGGATGAATTCACATGTCTTTAAGTAGTGATTAGAAATAACCAAGGAAAATTTAGGTACCTTCCTACATCTTAGGACTAAAGGAGTTGGGGAACACATAATGACCTCTAGATCTGATTTTGACTGGTTTAAAATTAACCAAACTCTTAGAGGTGTTGCTAAATTCAGAAACCTATCTCATGTGTACAACCTGAACCATAATTCTAGGATCATCCATCATGTATTGAGAACTTCTATTATACCTAAAGCTGGTGATTGTATCAACCTACTTCCTTTATTGTTTACAGTCACATTCCTTATCATGACCAACACTCCTATAAATGATGCACAATAGATTATGGACTATATTTATAAGCTTTCCAATATTATACTTACTCATAATAGGAGAAAGAAAACTGTGGATTTAGGATATTTGGTAGCCTATATTCTAGAAAAGAAGTACAACCTAATTCATCCTGATTCTTCTACTCAGCTTCCTATCAACTTTACTGATGTTTCCTTTTGTGCACTTTTTTTTTTTTTTAACAATGCCTAATTTTTTGATTACTCATTCCATGATTCCAAAGAAAGTGCTGCTCACCATGGAAAAAATCTGTAGAAATTTTATTTGGAATAATCAAAATGGTAGTTATGGCATTTACTACATTGCTTGGGAAAATTTATGTAAACCAAGAAGTATGGGAGGCTTAGGTTTACATTCTCCTATTATGAAAATGGGCCCTTTAAGAGCTAATCTTGCTTGGAATTTCCTTATTAATCCAAATACTCTTTTTCCATAGAGTGATGAGTTCTAAATATGGCAATGGTATCTTGAAGGATACTAATAATAAGAACTACTCTAAAGCTTGGAAAATCCTCCTTGATGGTGGTAAGTTTCTCAAGAACATTTCTAGATGGAGCATTGGAAATGGCAAATATATCAATGTGTTGAATGACATTTGGATTTATGACAAATGTATCAACCAATGGCCGACTTTTATTGACTGTACAACATTGGAAGGAAAATGTGTTCATCATCTTATGAAGAATGGCCAATAGGATTATTCTCTTATAGAGAAGTGGTTCCATCCTGAACTCTTGAATGCTATCAGCAAAATACATGTGCATCCCGACTGTGCTGACAAGGTGGAGCTGCAAAAAATCTGTCACGGTAAAACAATCTCGGGTTTGGCTTTTGAACAAGTATTAAATAGAAGATTTAATTTCATGGAAGAAGGTTAGTACAAGTGGCTCAACAAACTCAAACTTAGCAAAAAGGTGGAAACATTTTGGTGGAGACTTGGCAATGCTTCTATTCCAACCAATTTATATCTTAAGAACCGAAAGCTTTTTGATGAGGATACTTGTGCGAGAGGATGTGATATGGTGGAAGATTATGAGCATATTTGTGTCAATTGCAAACACTTGGTGGACATCATCAATCAACTCAATGCTTGGGGTATTCCTATTCCTACTTTTAACTCCTTGGATCATTGTTTAACTGAACTTAAACAAATTTATGGTAAAAATCTGGGAGTGGTACAGATTTATTATACCATTGTTTACTTCTCTTGGAAGAATAGGAACGAGATAAAGCATGGAAAATCTGCTCTTCCTTATTATGTTGTAGCTGCTAATGCTTTATTTGTAGCCATCACTAAAGCTACGTCTTATCTTTCTTACTGGAGCACTAATCTCCTTAGGGAGTCTTCTATTTCTTGGTGCCCCCCACCGAAAGATTGGATGAAAATCAATGTTGATGCTTCATTAACTCCTTCGGGACTAGCTGGTATTGGTGGAATCTTCCGAGATTGCTTTGGGAGATTCATTCTTGCATTTGGGAGAACATTGATACATTGGGATATTGCTCATTTGGAGTTGGATGCTATACTCTCGGTCAAAGATTATGTCAAAAGCTGGATGAAAGATTACAAAGGAGTCATTATTGAAAGTGACAATTTGAATGTTATCAAATACATTCAAAATTCTTTGAAGCAAGACAAAGGTGCTATGACCCTCAAGCTAGTAAGTGATTCTTTATTTGTAAGTGATTTCAATAAAGTAGTTTTTTGTACATGCTCATAGAGAATGTAATAAGGTAGCCAACTTATGTGCTACTATGGCTCTAGATGATAGCTTTTACTTTGATAGTTTTTCTTTTAATGATATCCCTCCCTTGATGGTTAATTTAATCAAGGTAGAATATCATCCCCCTGCTGATTGTAATTAGTCTTTTTTTCCTATTAATGCAATTGCATTTTCCTCAAAAAAAAAACTAAGACCAAGGAATTGAAGGAGAAGAATCTGATGAAGAAGCAGTACCTACTCCAGCACCTACACTTGCTCCTGGACTCAATCAACATTTCTATCAAGAAATGGTTCAACATTTTGATAGACTAGAATCTCATTTTGATCGACGTTTTGATCAAATTGAGACTCACATAAATCAGTAGGATGCAAGGTATAATGAATATATAGTATGGTTTAGAGGATAGTTTGACTCTATCAACACGCAAGTAATCATGAAAAATAACTACTTTACGAAATTCACCCCTCAAGCGCTTCCAAACCAGGGTCCCTAAGAATTTTAGTTGAGATTTTTCAATTGTACTTGTTGTTGTGTTATTTCTTTTGATCTCATGTGTTGGCTTTGCTATGTTGTGGTTCTTCCTTTCTGGTATAATGTATTGGTTGTATGTGTTACAAGTGTTTACTGAAATTCAGTTTTGTCTTATGCTGAAATCATTCTCCTTGAATTATTTTAAGTTTTTATAGACTAATTATATGTAGTTGATTTATAGAATGAAATTTTAAAATACTTTGTTCTATTAAATAATTTCCATGCAAAATTTAATTTCTCAAAATTTTAAATTAAATTGTGGTTGGGTGTAGATTAGAAGATCATCTTCATGTTCTTATAGACAAATATTATTTAGCTATAATTATTGCAAAATAAATGTTTTATTTTTTATTTTATTTTTTTCAAGGTGTTTATTTTTGTGAATTAATGAAATTTGTTTTAAGATTTATTAATATTAAAAAGATCAAAAATATAAAAAGATGCACAAAGCGTGCAAAAATTGAAAAGATGCACAAAATGTGCCATAAGTTTAAAAAGATGCATAATGTTCACCAAAGTGAAAAGAGACACAAAATTAGCCCAAACTAACTAGATGCACAAAGTGTGCCAATAATTGAAAAGATGTGCAATGTCGCCAATTGAAAGTTTCATACCTTTCTTTCCATTATCTTTCTATCTCTTATACAAATCCATATAATCAACAATAATATCCACTATTGAATTAAAAATTAATTATTTTTTATTTCAACTTTTTTGCAATAATCATTTTTCTTTAATATGTCTAGAACGATCAGTAAAACTGGTTTACTTTTCTTATCTTAATTATTCTTTGAATTAAAATATGAGACTTTCTTTTTCGTATTAGGATGTTAATATTATCTTTGCAAATAGTTTAAAATCTTCTTCATCATCATTTATTTTATTTATTAATAGAAACTTATCTTTTCAAGAGGTACTTCCCTTTTTGTCGTTGTTAAAAGGGAGAGTCATTAGTTATTGTTTGATGTGTGTGTGATTATTTTTCTGTGTGATTTTTTGTTTGATTTAATCATGTGTGTTTTATTGTATATATATTTTTTTCTTTTTAAATCATATTATTGTATTTTGTGTGCATTTTTAGAATTTGTTTAAGGTTTTGTTTTTAAGTTTGTTGTTTTGATTTTCATTGAAATCCCTTATTTTTAAATTGAGCATTCATTGAGGGTGAGCTAAGGAGAAAAATGACCTTAAGTGTCAACTCAAATAATAAAAAAAATTTATCATAAAAATGGGGGAGATTGTTGCAACTTAGATTTCAAGATTAAGTTTTATATCATGTGAGTTTTTGATAATACAAAAATATTATTGTTATGATTATTATTTCTCCTAAAAAAATACATTAGATATATTTTCTTTATGTTTTTTGTGTGTATTAATATTTTAGGGAAATCATACTCCAGATTACCAAATACTTCAAGACAGATTAGATTAGGGTTTTATGCAATGCAGTCTTTAATTTTTTTTTTTATTTTTTTTAAGTCTGAGAGAGTGTGATTGTAATTGGGTAATCGTGCAGACACACTGGGGGAGTGAGTCAAAACTTTAAATTTTAAAATTAATCATAATGTATGATTTTTAAATCACATTGGATGGTTTGTTATGGTAGTTCCTCCAAAACAAACTTAATCAAATCATGCTCGAGAATTTTTCTTTATAATGTTCATATTATATAATAATATTTCATATAGATGACTCAGAGATTACAAAATGAGGGCGTACCAATTCATCCCAAATGAATGAAATAGTTTTTAAACTCTTCATATTATATGAAGTGGAGTTCTTACAGACAACTCACAGAGTACAAAATGGGTACATACCAGTTTGTAAAAAATAATTTCATAAATTTTTTATCTGATCATACTATACTATGCTGGGTTCATACAGACAATTCACGAGTATGAAATGGGGGCATCCACACTCGTACCAAATGAACCATGATTTATTTAAATAGTTCATATTATATGATATATGTTTTGTAGAGACAATTCACAATGTAAGAATTGGGTTCGTATAGATCATACCAAATGAATTAGTTTAATTTTGAACTATTTATACTCTACAATGTCAGTTCATACAGATGACTAATAGAGTATGAAATCAGGTTCAAACAAGAGTGTACATGGATTTTTGAACTATTCGTACAGATGAAGTGCGATCATATTATACGATCTGAGTACGTTCAAGTTTTAATTTTTATTTTTCTGGATGGGTTTCCTTATATTTCATATATAAGTGTCCAAAAAAATTGACACTCCAATTATCTTTCTACAAATTTCTTTCAAGAGTGGAAAAGGAGAGTGTTTGGGTGATATTTTAGGAGTGAAGATTGAGAGATCTTTGAGAGGAATTTGTGAAGGGATTCACAAGGTTTCCCAAAGGTAAGGATCTCTTATTTGTTCTTCGAGTTTCTCCCTAGTTCCTTGAAGGATTTTAAGAGAAGATTTTTAAAGAAGATCATAATACTTTTCCATCACCAAGAGGGTAAAAAAAGAATATTGGTACTCTACTATTAATAAGAGGGTGAGAAGGGATGTCGGTACTCTGCTGCACAGGATTGGTAGAAGAGAGGTTTTGTATGGGCTTCTCCGCCTTGCTGTGGGGGAAAAAGGAGAGTCACTTTGATTTAATGTAATACATGAAGAAGGAGTCCTCAGGGAGTGGACGTAGGTCTACTTGGACTGAACCATTATAAAATTTGGTGTTCTTCTGTTCTTTTACTTTTAAATGCATTTTTATTTTCTGTAATTTTAGTTACTATGGTTGAAAGTTATTTTGTGAAAATCTATCATTATGTTATATATCTTAAAATAAATTTTTAAAATCTAAGAGAATTTTTTAAATTACCAATTCACCCCCCTCTTGGTTAGCCTTGGGATAGTTTTGTTAGGTCTAACAACCTACTCAAACTTTCATGTGATACCTTCACACACAAGCTCCCTCTTCTTACCAAAGCTCTCCTAGAACTTCTTTTCAAAGCTCCCTCTCAAGGACACTTAGTAGCCAAAGACATTGAAACAAGTCAAAAAGAAAGATTAAATATAAGGCCTCATAAAAAGCACTAAATTCCATTCTGCCGGCTCTGATAGTACAGTATGATCTTGGATCATCTAGTATAATTAGTATAAAGTACTCATGTTGGTACTGTACAAAGAGTTAGTTATTATAAAATCAGTTTAAATAATTAAGCTAATCATCCTAGCAATTCAAAGCATCATCTAGTACAATTAGTTCAAACAACTTAGATTATCGTCCAGTATGATTGGCGATAATTTAATTATTATCCCATACAAAAATTGGGTCATACAATACGATTTGTCAAATCGCCCTATATAATTTGATTGGATCAATTAATCCAATTTAGTTCCCTAATTGTAGGATTAATTTAGGCAAGATTTAATTACATTGTATAATACAATATCTATCATTCAGCACGATGAGTATAAATTTTGAAATTCAAAATATTTCCTAAATTATGATTGGCAGCCTAGATTCTTATTTCAACTGATTATCTTGTATGATATTGATCGTTTAGTATGATTATTTCATCTTGCATTAATTATCTCAATTAGAAATTTTAATCATTTTTTGATTAGTTGGTTATAAAATATGATATGAATTATATAATACGATTAGTTCAGAAAATACAACTTCTGATATTTTCACTAATTCACTCCCTTGAATGTGTGTGTGCATGGTTTCTAAGCTTAGTATCCACCATATACATGATTTGATTCAAGAAAGATAAAAATATATACGAATTGAAAATAGACTCCTCATGACATACTTAACCGTAGTTTACTCAATCTTAATCTGATCAAACTTGCTAGTGTTCATTGGACCTGAAATGTTATTGCATAGAAAAAATAGAGATGCAATAATAGAAATTAATAAGAGATAACACAATAAGAAATCCAATAATATTTATTGTCATCAAAATCATAGGACTTCAGTGTAAATTTTCAAAATTTATCTCAAATGTTCTTGCTAGTGGTACATGTAAACTCTCATATAATCTTAAGACTTAAGAGTATAGAGAAAGTAGTTGAAACATTTTTTAATTAATTAAGTTAAGTCCCTATCCTCATTGCTAAATTTATTAAACAGCACTTCAATTTTGATGCCATTAAAAAAATGAAAGGGTGTAGAATAACCTTCTTGTACCAAAAGCCACATGTGAAAATCAATAGATAACAAGAAAGTAGACATGTATATTTTTCAAATATAAAATGGTATGTTGTCAAATAAAGGTAGATGAGTTATAAAATAACCCTTTGTGGTGTTTTTATTATTGAAATGTGCCATGGATCATTTTTCTGAAGGTTTTCTAAAGTGATATTTGTCAGATCCGCACAGATACCAATTAAAATTTGATGTAAGATGTTAAGCCTTGATGAATTATCCCTAGGCACACTAAGAGAGGGGGGGGGGGGGTTAATTAGTTGTTTTAAAAAATAATTTTAGCAGAAAATAATTTTTTTAAAATTTTGAATATCTCAAAATAAATAATGTTATCACCCAATGCAAAAGTAAAATATCAAAGAAAAACTTATAAATATGGGGATAATGAGTTACTTAAATAAATATATCATCTAACATATAATTTTCCAACTAGAAATTTTCAAGAAAAATAAAGGCCAGAAAGGTAAAATGTAGAAAATAAAACTTAGAATGAATACACGAGAATTTTATAGTGGTTCGATCAAATAATGACCACTATCTACTCGACGATAGTCCCCCTCTCAATGTATTCCACTAAAACTTTAGTGTCTCTCCTTTATCCCTCACAGCTAGGCGGAAAAGCCCTTACAATCTTTTTACCAACCTGGTGCGGCAGATAACCTTGTCCTCTTTTTCACCCTCATGGTAAAGGAAAATAACCTAGCAATCCTTTTTTCACCCTCCTGGTGAAGGTAGATAATCTTGACAACCTTTGATTTGAAGTTCTTCTTCCCAGAGCAACCCAAGAACCCAAGCAAGACACTCAAAGAAAATAAGGTAGAAGGTTGCTCATAGTAATTTTGTAAAACCCCTTCATAATCCTCCCTCACACAAACTCTCCTTTCTCCTTCATAAAGCCCTCCAAGATCTCTTCTTAAAGCTCTCTCTCTAGAAAACCCAATAGGAAAAGAAGTAAAACAAGTCAATTAAGAGAGCTTAAATACAAGGATTCATAAAAATAATAATAATTCAATTTTATCAACACTGATCATATAATGCAATAAAAGATCATACATTATAATTAGTTCAAATATCCCTATTAGTATTATTCAAAGAATAAGGCATGGTACGATCAATTCAAGTATTTAAGTTGATCATCCAATATGATATAAGAAATCTGATATGATTAGTTCAAATGAATGGGATTATCATCCTGTATAATCCTATGAAGAAATATGGTCGTATAGTACGATTGGTCTAATCATATAGTAGATCTTATTGGAATAATTAATCCCAATTTAATCTCCTATTTATAAGATTAGATTAAGTTAGATTTGATTATATCATACAATACAATAATTATTGTATGGTACAATTAGTACAAATTTTAAATTTTAAAATATTTGTGGCTTAGAACATAATTTATACTGATCATCTTATATGATATGGATCATATTATATGATGAGTGAAAGAACTTTAATTATGCCAATTTTTTGATTAACTAATCATACAGTACAATATGGATCGTATAGTACGATTAGTTTCTAAAAATTACACTTCAAAATTTCTCACTTCCTAACTCCCCTATGTGTGTTTGCACGGTCGCAAAGTTTAACATCTACCAAATATAAGAATTTTACTCCGAAATGTATAATTAAATAAAAGTAAAAAATATGAATTGTTAAAGAAACTTAAACCAATTCTACCTAGTCTTGAGTTGATCACTTTGTGCGGTGTACGATGGATCTAAAAGGTTAGTGAAAGAACAAGTATCAAATAATAAGAATAACATGAGATGGCATCATAGAAAAGTCAATAATATTTGTTATCGGCATCGTAGACAACTCAATAATATTTGTTATCATTAAAATCACAAGACCTATGACCAAATTTGTAATGCATGGCACTTGCGAGAGATAAAATAGAATTCATACCATTATTAGAATAACACTTTACCTTTCATGTATGATGGGGCCACATCTAAATTACCTTAATCATTTTTAATATTATGAGGATTTTCCCAAGCAATTTATTGAAAAGAGGTCATTAACACTGGTTCATTTTGTATCCTCTGATAAATCATCTAAATGGTCACCATTAGAAAAAACGAAATTATTGTGAAAAGCTCCCACAAGAGGTTTAATAGTAGAGGAGGGGAAATTAGGTACATCTTTGATTGAAATGATATTATTTTGAATGTCATTGCATTCAAATGTAGGTAAAGCCTCCTCAGTCAACTCAGCTACCAAAACCAAGCTCATTAGTTTCCTTATAGGACACTTTTTTTGTTGAAGGTAAAATGGAGAATAAAGCACTCAAAAATAGAAGGACCTTGGGTTTTACGATGATTACAAAGGCATTTTTTTCAATTTCAAACTTCTAAAGATACCCCAAATTTTTAGGGCCAACCCAAATTTCCTTTGGGTATTTTTTCATTATATCAAACTCCATCAAGACACGATTAATAGAAGGTTGTGATCAAGAGGATGTAGCTTGATTTGTTTGAAGTGGTCTATTAAAAATACATGCTGAGGCATGAAGGATCTAAGGATTGAACATATGAAGCATTATATTCAGAAAAAGAAATCCACACCTGAACAATGCGATATTCTTCTTTAATATTAAAGAAAGGCATCCATTTTTAAACTCTCATTTGATAAGAATTTATATAGTACGTTCTCTAAGAAAATTTTATACTATTATCTAAGTCATTAGATAATTGAATTACAAGATGAGGCACATCAGAAAGGCCAATGGAAAATGAACCGGAGAGCTTTAA